GTTCACAGGTGTTCACAGACTAACAACAACACGGGGAACTCACATTCACAGGTCATTCTACCTTTGTTGTTTACGATTTGCCAGCGAGGATTTTTTCCCAGCGCCCATAAAAGGTTTATTTGCACACGTCCACTTGTTAATGTGTACGTACGGAACACTCATGGAACGTAGGTGTACACAGGCCCTTACACATACTGTACACCAGAGCGGTAACTACTGCAGACGGATGTAAAACTGTGCTCAAGCGTAAACACACACACGCAGACACACACACTCACACACACACTCAGACACACACACGTAGACACACACACTCAGACACACACACACACACACTCAGACACACACCCAGACACACACTCAGACACACACACGCAGACACACACACCAGACACACACACAGACACACACTCAGACACTCCACACACCCAGACACACACCCAGACACACACACACACACACGTCATGACAACCGCTGATCATACACTGTCATAAATATCATCATCATACTCAGCCCATAATGATGTGTTTACCTGTGGGAGCTTTATTAATTACACACACACACACCTGGGTTCTGTCTGTCTGTCTGTCTGTCTGTCTGTTATTTTCATTTTCACACAACACAAAACTACACCACACCACATCAACACAACACAACACAACACAACACAACACAAAACTGGAACTTCAGTTAAAACTCTACGACTACCATTAAAATTTTTCCAGTACAAAATATCTATTTGCTTGTACCTCTTCCTGATGCTACTACTACTACTACTACTACTACTACTACTACTACTACTACTACTACTACTACTACTACAACTTCTTACATATGTAGATGTTGTTGTTGGTAGTGGTGGTGGTGTGGTAGCAGTGGTGATATTTGTGGTGTCGTTGTTTATGTATGTATGTATGTATGTATGTATGTATGTATGTATGCATGAAAGTATGTATGTATGTATGTTCCTTACCGTATAGACAACCGAAGCGTTATTTCAGGGCGTCTTAACTTCACCTCTTAAGTTACCTGTACGTCAGTAACTCAGGTGAATCGTTAATGAGACCTGAGGCTTCTCTCCCGACACTCGACGCTCACCTCCTCACCCAGGTGTGGCAGTGATGTGGGGGATTATATGTTATCCTGACGTATTTAACCTTAATGAGTCTACCTGCTGTGGGGATGAGTCTACCAGGTGTGTGTGTGTGTGGAGAAAGTCTACCCCCCCCACACACTTCCCCTCACACAATAGAGATATAATATTCTTTGAGTCAATTCTTCACTCTCACACACACGAACTTAGTATTCATGGCTCCCGACTCATCACTGGCTGAAAATGTCTCAGGAATTTGTTCACAATTTGAGCCGGCGAGCTAACTACACCTATGAATAAATTGCATGTTGGCCAAATTGATGATTAAGGCGACAATATAATAGTCTGTGTTCATGGTTGACGAGAGGTGGATAGTGGTACAGGTGAAGGTAAAACTGAGACTACACACACACACACACCCACACACACCACACCCACACACACACTCACACACACACACCTGACACACACACACACACAGCCAAACCAATAATCCCCTTGGAAACTACAAGAGTAGGGGTGAGTATCGCAGGCAAAAATGTCGACAAAATAAACCTTTCTATACCTTTATTTCATCAGACAACAAATACGTGAAATATTGGTGGTAGTAGTGGTGGTGGTGGTGGGTGATAGTAGTGGTGGTGGTGGTAGTAGTGGTGGTGGTGGTGGTAGTGGTGGTGGTGGTGGTGGTAGTGGTGGTGGTATTGGTGGTGGTAGTGGTAGTGGTGGTGGTGGTGGTAGTGGTAGTGGTGGTGGTGGTGGTGGTGGTGGTAGTGGTGGTGTACGGTGGTAGTGGCAGTGGTGGTGTGGTAGTGGTAGGTGGTGGTGGTAATGTTGACCTGAGGTTCAGTTCTCCTCCCTTGGTGAAATAGTTTACGTAGAGAAATATTCAAAAAGTGGATTATATTGTTCTCAGCCTGACGACAACCAGGATGTACAGGGTGTCCCAAATGTTTGTACGTATCATCATACAGGGTGTCCCAAATGTTTGTACGTATCCTACAGGGTGTCCCAAATGTTTGTACGTATCCTACAGGGTGTCCCAAATGTTTGTACGTATCCTACAGGGTGTCCCAAATGTTTGTACGTATCCTACAGGGTGTCCCAAATGTTTGTACGTATCCTACAGGGTGTCCCAAATGTTTGTACGTATCCTACCTTTCTGCTTGGATCTTTTGTCTGTCCGTCTGTCTGTCCGTCTGTCTGTCCCCCCAAAAAAGCTGGTCCACTTAAACAAGAAAATAAACAACAGGTCCATAAATGTAAACAATAATACCAATTACCTGTAAAGCATCAATAAAGGTGATCATTAATTCACTATATTTTTATCAACAGAAAAATTACGAAAACTTCCCATATTTTTTTTTTTTAATCTTTTTACTAAATCAAACAACAATAAAATAAATCTGGCCAGGACACGAGGCAGAGACAATCAGATTATTTGTTTTTATTTGTTTCATTCGTTGTTTTTTTTTTGTTCTTGTTATATAAGTTAATGTCATTAGGTTTATGGCGTTTCAGAATATAATATTTTGTGTGCGTCTCTCCTGCCTTGTATGGTGACGCCCTAGTGAGGAATATACACTGACTGACGCCCTAGTGAGGAATATACACTGACTGACGCCCTAGAATATATAACCGGCGCCGGGAATATACACTGACTGACGCCCTAGTAGAATATGCATTGACTGACACTGGTGAGGAATATGCACTGACTGACGCCTAGTGAGGAATATGCATTGACTGACTTCGTGAGAATATACACTGACTGACGCTGAGAATATACGACTGACGCCTGGTGAGAATATACACTGGCTGGCGCTGGTAGGAATATGCACTGACTGACGCCCTAGTGAGGAATATACGCGCGACTGACGCCTGGGAATATGCGCGACTGACGCCCTGAGTGAGAATATACACTGACTGACGCCCTGGTAGGGAATATGCGCACTGACTGACGCCCTAGTGAGGAATATACACTGACTGACGCCCTAGTGAGGAATATACACTGACTGACGCCCTAGTGAGGAATATACACTGACTGACGCCCTAGTGAGGAATATACACTGACTGACGCCCTAGTGAGGAATATACACTGACTGACGCTACTGTGTAATGTGTATAAACAATGTATATAAAAGTATTAATAACGTGTATATACTATAATAATGATGTTTAGGTTAAGTTAGGTGAGTGAGAGAGAGATTTACCCAAGTTAAGGAGATATAAACTGTCTCTCGCTACATGAGGAGAACTCTAGTGCAGGAGTTTACTAAAAGTTACAAGAGGAATGAACCAGTCAAGAGAATTCGACTCGTATAGAAATTTCCTAGTGTTACAGACCAGTGTGTGTGTGTGTGTGTGTGTGTGTGTGTGTGTGTGTGTGTGTGTGTGTGTGTGTGTGTGTGTGTGTGTGTGTGTGTGTGACTCCTTAGGTTAAATTACAGGTGTGAATGGAACGAGTTATTGTATAGACAGACAGACAAAGACAGACTGATAGATAGACACACACACACACACACACACACACACACACACACACACACACACACACACACACTAAGAGTCATCCAGAAAGGTTAAGAGAGACTCACAGTAGCGTGTCATAGGGACTGGCCGTTCAGCACAGTTAGCGAGAGTAATAGCGCGTTAAGTGAAGACATTCAGACCGGGGTAAAGTTCTGTGAGGGGGAGAGAAAGTCTTGTGGTGGGAGTTTTCTGAGTGTAAAGTTTACTCCCCAGGAACTTTTTGAGGTGTGTGGGGGGAGGGAGGGAGGGGTTGCAGGTGTGTGGGGGGTGGGGAAGGTAGGTGTGTGTGGAGGGACAGAAAGGTTACCAGGTGTGTGTGTGTGTACCCTAGTGCAACACACCCTGCCACCACCCTCAGCAACAAACTCTACGTCTCTAGCAACAAACTCTGCCGCCCTAGCAACAAACTCTGCTGCCCCTAGCAATACACCCCGTCACCCCACCCCTAGCAACACACTCTGCCGCCCCCTAGCAACACACCCTGCCACCTCCCCAGCAACACACACCCTGCCACCACCCCTGGTTAACAAACCTGCCGCCCCTAGCAACAAACTCTGCCCCAGCAACAGACCCTGCCACTCACCTCTAGCAAAGCAACACACCCTGCCACCCTTAACAACACACCCTGCCACCCCTAGCAACACACCCTGCCACCCCTCTCTCTCCCTCACCAATGGTCGCGGGTCTGGCCACATCAGTATTCAAATATGATTTTACACCCAGTTGCCAACAGCAGCTTCCCTGGTGGTAATAGTGGTGGTAGTAGTGGTGGTGGTAGTGGTGGTAATATTAGTGATGGTGGTAATGGTAGTGGTGTTGGTTGTGGTGATGATGGTAGTGGTAGTAAGAGTGATGTTGGTAATGGTGGTGGTAATAGTGGTGATAGTAGTCGTGGTTGTAGTAGTGGTAATGGTGGTAGTGGTAATGGTGGTGATATAATGATAGACTAGACAAAACCTCAAGTAAAAAACGTCTAAGTGTATCATGTTAAATTAGACAACACCTGGAGCAAGAGTTAATTAAGTACAGGTGTATCATGTTAAATTAGACAACACCTGTAGCAAGAGTTAATTAAGTACAGGTGTATCATGTTAAATTAGACAACACCTGGAGCAAGAGTTAATTAAGTACAGGTGTATCATGTTAAATTAGACAACACCTGTAGCAAGAGTTAATTAAGTACAGGTGTATCATGTTAAATTAGACAACACCTGGAGCAAGAGTTAATTAAGTACAGGTGTATCATGTTAAATTAGACAACACCTGGAGCAAGAGTTAATTAAGTACAGGTGTATCATGTTAAATTAGACAACACCTGTAGCAAGAGTTAATTAAGTACACCTGTAGCAAGAATTAATTGTGTTTTCTTTTCAACAGATTCTTCACAAGTTCAAGATGAGACGAGTGGTGACCCTGGCCTCCCTCTTGTTGCTGCTAGCTGGGATGCTGCCACTGTTAGGTGAGTCTCTCTGTCTCTCTGTCTCTCTGTCTCTCTGTCTCTCTGTCTCTCTGTCTGTCTCTCTGTCTGTCTTTATCCCCGTCTCTGTATGAAGCTGTAGTAGGTACTGTAGTGTGATGGATAGAAGGAGGGAAGGAGGGAGAGAAGGAGGAGGGAAGGAGGGAGGGCCAGTCAGAGCGTGAGGTAATGAAAGGATTTGAAGGGTGGGAGGAGGGAGAGAGGAGGAGGGAGGAGGGAGGGAGGAGGGAGGAGAGAGAGAGAGAGAGAGAGAGGGGGAGGGAGGAGAGAGGAGGGAGGGAGGAGGAAGGAGGAGGAGGGAGGAGGGAAAGGGAGGGAGGGGGGAAGGAAGGGAGGGAGGGAGGGAGGGAGGGAGGAAGGAAGGAAGGAAGGGAGGGAGTTTACACAAGCACTGGATAATATTACAAGGATATGACGTCACACACTACTGGGTTACACACACACACCTGTCTATATTATTATTTATGTACACACTCATATATAACAGTCATGAACGTATATAAATATGTACACATGAAGGGTTAGTATCCATGACTGTATTCATGTCGATATCACTTGTGACTGTTCATGTATGTATGTATGTATGTATGTATGTATGTATGTATGTATGTATGTAATAGACAATACAGTAGTTTAAGTACATTCCTACAGGAGTTATGTAGGTGATTTTTATAGATGAGTGACCTACTTATTGACGAGGCGAGATGTCTGTCTGTAACTGTCTGTGTGAGGTGAATTAACCAGTTCATTACCTGTTTATTAGGACAGGTGAGCGGCGTTACCTGGACTACACACCCTCTCTCTCTTCCCCTCCCCCCCCACCTGTCACACACCTGTCATACACCTTACCTCCCACCTGTCACACACCTGTCACACACCTTACCACACACCTGTCACACACCTTACCACACACCTGTCACACACCTTACCACACACCTGTCACACACCTTACCTATTACCACTAACTATATTTTTTTTCACAAGTTCCCAAATCGAAAACAACATTATATACGGGTTGATTATTTTATTCGAGAACTTTAAATAATTCCCATAGACTAAAAACTAAGTAAGTTACGAACCTACAGACTTTACGTCAGTGTTGTCTAATGATACAGAAAGACGTGACATAATCCACATAATTATATATTATACTATTTACGTGTTTAATTATACCACTAACACTATTATCTAACACCTTATAAGTAATATAAGTAACTATATACAATGTTGAAGTGAGAACACGAACACAGTGACAACAAACACAATAAATTAGAAAATATTTTACTGTTCTTAGGTGAGTTTATTGTCCACTTTCACCGCAGTGTTGCCACATAATACTTCATAGTTACAGCTACTACTACTACTACTACTACTACTACTACTACTACTACTACTACTACTACTACTACTACTACAACAACAACAGCAAAACAACAACAATGCAGTTCTCGTTTTCTATGTAATACAAGACTTAGGGGAGACTCAAAAATCTTTAAAAAATGATTCCAGAGGCTGCGAGGGGTTTTAAGCTTCTCTGAGATGAAGAGCTCCCAGCTGACGTGGCTGAGACCTGTGTTGTGAGATGAGAGGATCTGAGAAGTAATTAAATCGCAATGACCTTGTTGCTGGGAGGGGAAACTAGTTCTGTCTGTCTGTCTGTCTGTCTGTGTCTCCCCTGTCTATTCGATCTGTCTGTCTGTCTAAAGATGAATGTTTGGGACAGTAGACATATGCATACAGATTGTGGGATGGTGATTAGCATATGTAGATTGTGGGAAAGTTGGGTGTGTGAGTGTGGGACAGGAGGAGGAAGGGAGGGAGAGTTGCGTGTGAGGGAGAGAGGAAGGGAGGGAGGGAGAGTTGCGTGTGAGGGAGAGATGAAGGGAGGGAGGGAGGGAGAGTTACGTGTGAAGTAGGAAGAAAGGGAAGAAGAGGAGAAGAGAGAGAAAGGAAGGAAGGAAAGATGGAAGGAGAGGGAGAAGAAAGGGAGGGAGAATTACATGCGGGAGTGTGAGGAAGAAAGGGAGAGAGGAAGGGAGGGAAGGGAGAGAAGCGTGGTAGAGCTGACGTCATGATATTGCCAAACTTTTCCGTTCTCAACCAACAATAAATAAGCCCGTACTCCCTGCCTTAACGTTCACTAATGTAATCCCATCCTTTAAATATAACCATTACCTAAAATAAACTCAATCCTTAAAATGTAATCACTCCCGTTGATGTAATAAGGAAATTAATGTGATTAATTCTCTTAATACCTTAAATAAACCCCCCTAAAGTGTTGTAGCTCCTTTAAATTATTTACTTACCTTTAAATTATACCTTAAATTCCTTTCCCAACCTTAAGCATTAATGTGTAACTACAACCTACACGGCCTTCCTCCGGTTACTATTTCAAGACCAAGATGCCAGCCCTCACTTCAGCGCTGGAAGGAGTATTACTATTCCCAGCTGCAGCCAAACACCGTAGTGGATTGCCTAACTCTTCACGGGTTTCCTCCCTACCAACCTGCAGCTGGACTACCATCCCTTATCGAGGTCGTCCCGTCCATCAACCAGATGAAAAATAACAAAGCCACGAGACCTCAGGGTTGCCCAGCTGACCTAATTAAACCACGACGATCCCTGATGACTAGCCACTTTCAGGAAGATGTTTTCCCTGAACCTCAAACACGATGTTGTCAGCATGTATACGAATGAGGGAGACAGGCCAGATTGTAACTACTACCCTGGGATCTCGCTTCTGTCCATAGCTGGCTAGATTATCGCCTCGGTCCATCTGTACGGACTGATATATGACGAGGAAACTTTATCCGAGTCAGGGCGTCCTGTAGAAACTCTCACAGCACCTTTGTTGCCCTCTAGAGAAAGAAAAAATCAATAGTGAACAGCGCCGTGACCTCTAAATGACCTATATTGACCTTATTCAAGTTTAATTGTTCTTATTGCCTACCCAAATTCATCACCACCATAAGGCAACTCCTCGTTGGCATAATATCACCCAGTCTGAGTTCTACTTCATGGTCCAAACAGCTCGAGGTTAAGACAAGGATGTGTACAAGCACCAACTCTTTTTTTTCTTGTTTTTCAATTTCGTGATTGTCTTCCTCATCCACGCCCTTCATCCACTCCCAGACAACTGTATATCCTCCCTTAATTACGGCTCTCTCACCTTTACACCCCTTCCCCCACACAATGACAGCCAAGGCAAAGGCCACAGAGACATACACTGCGTCTCTGTGTTTTTTCTGCTTCAGGTCATACATCTAACTCCCTTCTGGATGATGACGAAGGAAGACCTGTGTAACAAAGGGTTGTGTGCCCAGGACTCGACTTAATTACGGGTAGTTATGTAACCAGGACTTCTTCAGCTGTCTGGGGGAGCTCAGGGGGATACTGACGATAATGAGTCTGCTCAGAGGCGCTTGTAGGGGCCTTCACATCTTGTTATGCTTTATACCTTCAGGGAGGATGTGTGTGTGTGTGTGTGTGTGTACATGTATGTTTTCCTGCACCTCCTCAATCCTTTCTTCTTCCTTAGTCCTCTTCTCTCCTCCTCTCCTTTCCTTCCCTTCCTCCTCCTCCTCTCTCTCTCTCTCTCTCTCTCTCCACCCTCCCTCCTCCCTCCTCCTCCTTCATACTTCTGTTCCCCTTTCCTTCCTCTTCCCACACACACACACACACACACACACACACCTCTGCTCTGTGGTGAAGGTGTTGGTGGTGGCGTGTCTTGTGGTTTAGTGGTAGTGTTTTTTTAGTTGCTCTGGCTGGTCAGGTTGGGGAATACCTGTGCGGCTGGCTGGTCGGGTCGGGGAATACCTGGCTGGCTGGTCGGGTCTGGGGAATACCCTGGCTGGTCAGGTCGGGGAACACCTGGCTGGCTGGTCGGGTCAGGGAACATCTGGCTGGCTGGTCTGGGGAATCAGGTTGGGAATACCTGGCTGGCTGGTCGGGTCGGGGAATACCTGGCTGGCTGGTCGGGTCAGGGAATACCTGGCTTGGTCGGGTCGGGGAATACCTGGCTGGCTGGTCGGGTCGGGAATACCTGGCTGGTCAGGTCAGGGAATCCTGGCTGGCTGGTCTCGTTGTGGAGGTGTGTGTTGATGTGGCTTGACCACCACCACGCAATCAGCCACTCTCTTCACCCTCTTCTCCCCCTCCCCCCTCCCCCCCTCCTCCCCTCTCCCTTCGTGGTCTCTGGAGACGTATGTGTTTTTCTGACGTTGTTTTGCTAGAGGAAAAATCTGAGGTGATGTGTGTGTGTGTGTGTGTGTGTGTGTGTGTGTGTGTGTGTGTGTGTGTGTGTGTGTGTGTGTGTGTGTGTGTGTGTGTGTGACTCTGAACTTTTTCTGTCTGTATGAGGTGTGGTCCTCTCTCTCTCTCCCTCGATTTTTGTCTCACGTTCCCTTCCCTCAGGTGTGCTCTGAGGGGGGTGAGGGTAGGGGGTGAGAAGGGTAGAGAGGAGGGTTGAGGTAGAGAGGGGGGTGAGAGAGGGATAGAGGGAGGAGGAGAGGTGGGGAGGGTCAGGAGGTATACCACAGGCACTAAACAGAGAGTACAGGCTGATGGACGATACAGGTATGAAAGATTATGATTTACCTGTCCATCCATCCATCCATCCCATCCATCCATCCATCCACCCCATCCATCCATCCATCCATCAACTAACATCCTCGCAGGCAGAATGGAGTTGTATACGGGTGATTGAGGAAGACCCGTGGTGAGGGCTCGTGTGTGGGTCTTGTGGTCGTGTATTTCTTAAAACAAGGTTTGATATTCCAGAGAGAGTTATTTTTATTTCTGGGGAGGGAAGGTGTGTGTGGTGTGTGTGGGTGTGTGGGGTGTGTGTGTGTGTGTGTTGCAGTATCTTGTGGAACTACCTGTCCTTCTTCCCTTCACATACCTACACACACACACACATACACACACACACACACACACACACACACACACACACACACTTAGCCTACACAGTCTACAAA